TAGCACTTAGGTTTCTCACATCTCCAATATATTTGCTTACTTTGGACTGCTTATAAACTGGCCCAGCATCGACAACTCCATTACATGTGTGATTTGAAATGTTAGGAAGTGAAACTTTCTTACAAGCCTTTGCTTCCTTGACTGAGGGCCCCTGCTAGGAAACAGCATGATGTCATTTTATTTGTGTCCCACAGATGATATTAACACCTTGGTCTTTGCATCACTATCATGATTAGTCACATTTGAAACATACTCTACCTTATCACGTATGTTTCCCTGTTAAATTAATTAAAGACATGACAATCATTTCCTTTTTGATCATCCAGAAGCTGGGAAAAGTGTTTGCTGAGACATTATTTCCTTTATCATTGGTGATACCTAATTATCTATCTATTGTGTGATTTTTTTGTGAAGTCCAAGTGGTACTTCACATTTCTTTTGTAAGGTAATGTACAACAGAAACCTTTATGTGAATTTCACTATTCAGCTTTCACAAATCTCGATAATCACTGAGGGACTAAGGGGCCTAAAGTAAGACTTAAGCAGAATTTATATAGCAATGCCTAAACATATCCACAGGCCATCTGCAGGATGCGCAGGATGCTGCATCAAGATGTCAGCATCTTGAAGCCTTAAGTTTCACCAGCAAAGTCTCAGGTTCACCTTAAGTTCTGCAACTGTCCGTGGCCAAACTGCTGCCTTTTTACCAGGGTTACGGGACTCTTCCCTGCACTCAGGTCCTGTCTTCAAAATGGATTTTTCTGTGCTTATCATCCTGCAGGGCCATGTCAGGGTGGTTTACAGAGAATATGCCCAACGTGCAGTCAGGAGGAGAAAGTTTTCCAAGTGGGGCAGCAGCATGGTCCTTGTTTTTATCCTGTCGCACAATGATTAGGAGGAATTCCACTTCAGCTTTTTTTGTTTTAATGTAGAACTTTGTCATGCTTCCCCATTAGCTTCTTGGCTCACCTATAAAATATGGGAGCACTACCTAAATGAATGTAAGTGGATATTTCATCTTCCTCTCCACTATCAGATTACCAGCGGAACTAGTAGAAAAATTAAGGATTGAGACATCTCAGCAAGTGCCTGCCCAGGTACCAGTTCCACCAAAAGTGAATCTCATTTTTCTTGCTTCTTCCACCATAATCCCTTCCCTCTGTCACTTCCAAGGCAGCCAGTTGTGTCATTCATCATCTTTTTCTCTCTTGTGCGTTCCCACTGCTTCATATTTTTGACATGGATTTATCTGAATCCATCAACCTCTTCCTGCCCTGGGAGAGTGTCTGAGATCAATGCCTGGTCTCAGGATCACGGCTAGGTGTTATCACACAGCACATGGACAGCAGTTTGGTGTCCAGCTCTGCTCACTGCTACATGGAAGTGCAAACCACTGAACTGCAAAGACATGCTTCCCTTGGCTCTCTTCTCTTCCCTCTTCAGATAATCTTTAATTTTTTTTACAATTTGGTATAGATTCAAGAAAAGGGATTTAGTGTCTCTTATTTGTCGTTCCAGGCTGACAGCCTCGAGCCAGGGGACCAGCGTTTTCTCCTGAATCTAAAACCCATGCCATTTGAGACAGGCCTGGAATGAAAAGTCTTTCGCACCCCATAATTAAAGAGAAGTAGAGCTCCCCAGAAAAGACTCCTGCAAACTGAGGCTGGCTCAGTTTCCAAAGGAATGATATAGGTGCTTAAAACCTGACAGGTTTAAGATATTTTGTGTCATAGGTTTCCAGTGGTCAGATTATGTGCAGCACTGCTAAGTGCTCTGGCTGCTTTGAATCTGAGGTTGAAGCAACAGCATCTCTCCACGACGCACTGTTGTTTAGGCCCTTCACTGAGGGCTGCACATTGTAGTCCAGGACTTCTCCAAATGAGGGCTTGTTAAGTTCAGCATCTGAACATTTAAGACCCTTCATGGATCTAATATGAAGACATTCACTTCTTTTGAAGTGACTTTTCACCATTTTTATAATTTTATACTCTACTATAACCAGGAATGCTATATTTTGAGTTTCCAATCCTCAGTAAAATCTTTTGTCTTCAGATAGCTCTGATTTAAAAACAGTAATGCATTAATTTAAATATATTTTGGATTAAAGCAAATATAGTCTTTACTATTGGCTCTTACATGCTGAAAATGTGAGATTTAAATTCTCCAGAAGTTGTGCTCCTTGCTTAACTATTTTTTATTTCTTAATTCTATTTAGAAATAATACCTGAAAAAAAAAATAAGGTAGTTGTAGTCTATATCATTCTCTTGCCAGTGTTATCAAGTAACATTTAAAGGATTTTTGTTGAACTAATAGGCATATGAGATTTCATGCAGTCTGTTATTTTACTCTGGTATATTTGCATAACATAACTCTGCCAGTCACTGGGAATGATGAGACCAATTATCAAGGCAGTGGTCCTGCCTGGCCTCCTGTTCCTCACTACCATTAAAGACTGGATTAAACACTATTAGCTTTTGCAGTGAACAGATCTCTAATCCTGTGGGGGAGGAAACTGTTCTTGCTACTAAGTTAATTATGGAAGGTCTGTATCTCTTCCTCTGCTTTTCTTTTCTGAAGCATTAGTCAGGATGAGGAGCCTCCTCATGTTTATTGGTACCTTTTCAGGTTAAAAAAAGGAAATAATCCCTAAAGAACTGGCTACCAGGCACTGAAGGTGGAGTCTCATGTTTTCAGAGATTGATTGTTGTGATCTTTCATTACATTCCCTCTTGTTATAAAGGAGTGATAACCGAAGCGTGAAAATGTCTCACTGTGGGTTTGTCAGTGCTGTCATGTACTTAAGACTTTAAAAAAACTATGCTGTTTGAATAAGGTCTGTGTCAACAATAGAAAGTGGTTAGATGACATCTTTCAAGCACCGTAGCCATCTAGAGTTATTTATTGTGCATTTTGTATGCTGACAAGGCAGGAGAGGCCAAATCCCTGTCTGACCTAACTCTGCTTGTCATTTTTTGCTCAACGTCTGGGTAGCAGGCAATCTGGTTTGACTGAAGCACATACAAAATGATTTGAATAATTATCCTTTCAAGAACACGTGGTAAGGTGGGTGAATTTGGACACTTGAATTCTTTGACTAATAGGATGGAAATACCCACAATTTTGAGACATTCATGGTTATTTTTAAAGAACAAACCTTGGTCCCAGAACAGCCTCTGAGAGTTTTGCAATTACCTTATAAAATGTCAGTCTTTTGGAGACTTTTAGTTATCAAATGTGGATTAATGGCGCCGAGGTTTAATTCTGCGTTTTTAAATGTGGACCTAATGGCATAGTTCTTACAGAGTAAATGAATGCTGAAGTAAGAATACAGTGATTAATTTATTTAAATTACCTTAAAATGATTGAATGATAACTAGACAGTTATTCAGCAGACATGGATTAAGTTGTGTGTGCAAAAAGTATACCTGGCAGTATTAGAGAGACAGATAGGTTATAGTTCTTAAACATACTCAAATTACATTTGTTACAACATTTTGAACAAGTCCTATTGCAAGAGCACAATTTTTTAGGCAGCCCCGCTCTGGGCAGGTTTCGCATATAATAATATTAAGCAACAACGCAGGTTCTGATAAAAAGCACATCTCGATCCTCCTGATCTTTGCTCATGTAATCAGCCTTATGAATTTAGAAGGATTATCCTCCAATCTCTCCATTTGGTGGTAAAAGACAGTAAGTCAGATGCTTCTTGTCAGAAGAGCAGTCACTGAAGAAAGCATCTTTGTGGTCAGTTAAAAATCAAACGCAATCTTTCTTCTGTTTTTTCTTAAGATTCCTGCTTACATCTGAGATAATTTACTCTGTATTGAAATGTTCTTTTCATATATGTATATGTTTGTTTTTGAGCTTTAACTCTAGCCTGAACCAGGCACTGGTGATCTTGTAATTAGTTTATCTTTATTTCTACCAACTTCTAACATGATAAAATACATTACTTTGCGGCTGCCTCCTGGAAAACATAGATAATTGCAGTGCATAAAGATCTTTATTATTTATATTGAGCTTAGGATCATTGAGGTGGTTTCCATCTCTAAAATGCCCTGGAATTATAAATTGACTATATAGTAAAAGTTAAGAAGCCAGACAGTCTCTAGTATAACTAGCTTTAAACTATTTGAGTATGCAGAGCTTTTCCACATAAGACTAAAAAGAGATGAAGGTGATAATTTGATAATTTAGGGTTAACGCTTTAAAGACATCAATAACCATCGGAATACATTTACTGGTATTTCAGAGTACAGTTTCTAAAGCAGTTCTTATTCATGTATGTTTAATTTCAGTTAGGAGGTTCACATATTTATAATACAAAATTTTATAATAACCCTTATCTGAGCTATAACTAAGGAAGGTGACTTTGAAAATCCAACAGTAGCTTTGAAAACGTCAGAGCAACTTCGATTCATTAATCTTCTTGTACAGATGATTCTGAAGAGAAGCCCTGGATCTAGCGAAACTCAAAATTTGGAGCTATTTTATATCCCAAACCAGACTTGACATGGAACATATATGTTGGGACCATCTTCAAATGGGATCATTCACCTCCTTATAAGGAAAGCTCTCGTTACCAGGGCTGCAAATTAATTACATTGAGAGGTGCTTGTATGGCAGCATGGAACGATAAGGGAGAACACTTGCAAGCCCATGCTGGACAACAGAATAGGAGCCTGTCTTGTCCCATAGAAACACAAGTACTTTTTGGTCTCTATTAATCTAATATTCTCCTCCCTTTAATACAGTAAATTACATTACAGATATTGTGTCAGGATACAGGAAACATCTAACCAGGCTACATAATATGGTTCGACTGGATTTTAAGCATCTTACCTTGTTGCTTTTGTCATGTTTTTGGTCTGTATTTCTGTCTCCTGTTTGGGATGTTTTTGAGGAATGACTCTGTGCCACAAGCCCTATTCAGGAAGCTGAGTAATTAAATGCACAGAATGGCATTGGAAATTCACCAAGAGAAGTCACTCACACTTACCTTTTTCACATCTGGTATATTAAAAAACTTCTTGGTATGAGCCACCCATCCCACTATTCCGATGTCCAGAGGAAAAACAGCCTCATTGTCTGGATTCACCAAGTTCTCCTCAAAGGTAGAAGTAGGAGTGACATTAAGAAGCCTGGTGGCTACCTCTGGAATACCATTTCGGGCACGGCAAATAAACATGCTACACCGATCAGCTGCCAGCAGCTGTGCCAGCCTCTGCAGGGCCTTGTGCACTGTCTTTTCCATAGTGCCTCCCTCATCCTGGATTTCTGTTAGCAGCTCAAAAAGTATGTTAGACTCCTCCAGACGGGACATGTCCTTGAAGCTGACTCCTTCTTTCACATCTCCAGGGTTCACTTTAAAGACGCTTCCCACCACTTCTGCCCTCATTTTTCGGTCGAAATATTCCTTGGCAAACTGGGGGTTGTTCTCCAAGTATTTTTCAACGGCATCTTTATTCACTTCACCCATTTTTGCTGGATCGTTCTTTGGATTTTTTTTTAGAACTGCATTACCATCAAAGCAGGAGTGGTAGCAAAAAGTCCTCTAACTTGATGCTAGTAAGAAAGTGGTACTTTGTACATGCTGTGTACCTCACAGACATAGTACATTCACCTTCCCCTGTGGCTCTGCAGCCTTCTGAAACTCTTGAGATATGACAGAAGGCACTGGCTTAGTATCTTCTTAGTGTGAGGTCTTGGAGACTTCTAATTAAAGAGATGTCAGGACACTAAACCCCTGATCATTCTTAGCTCATAAATCCTAAGGGAATCATTTTAGCATTTTAAACTAACCAAATAGTTCTTGTAAAATAGACTGATGTGTAGATATGCAAGTTTTCTCCTTCTCACACTATATAAAATTGTAGTATACCTATGAAAGCTTCCATTGAAACTTAATACGAGAAATTCATCTTAGATACTCAGCCCACATAAAACACGTTGGCAGATGTAGTCACGTGTACTTGCGTGAGCTGTTTAAGGGGAGGAAAATGGAATGTTACAGAAAAGAATTAAAATTTCAAATTTTATTTTTCCTTTAAATAGTTGGGAGATCATTGAAATTGGATTATTAAAAGTAAATAACTGCCAAGCTATACATGCATAAAATGAGTGAAATCTCAAAGTCCTTACAAAAGTCTCAGCTGGTCTAGTCATTTACTCGCATGAAGGTGGAGTAACAGCCATGCCTTAGAATTTGCATCAGCACAGCCAAATATGATTTGTATGAAACGTTTTTCAAAAATAGATACGACTAAAGGAAAAAGTAAAATCAGAAAATGACTTGAGTTCAAATTGCAATTTAAAATTTTTACTCATTCAGGAATTTTCAAGTCTTCAGTGAATTTATAATAATTCTCTTATTCTATATTAAGATAGTTGTGCCAAAGTATCAACTTGCAGGTTGGGTCTAGTGTTATTTCATCTATCTTTCTTCTTTAAAAATACCACACATGAACAGAGTTCATGATCTTCATTCCATATCATGACCAAAACAAAAGCACAAATTTCAATAATACTACAAATTAATATAAAGGAGTTTCATCAAAGATGTTATCCAGACAACTTGAATTGCCTATATTCAGCTTTTTCAGCTTATCAGCAATCTGATGTTGTATAGAAATACAGATGCAGGTCAAGAGCTAGTAAAATGTAGTCTATAAGCATGAGTAACTGGACAGGGTCCTCCAAGTAATAGTTTCTTCTGTGCTTTCTTCAGAGAAAGCAGGTGAACTCTACTCTCTTAAGTAATAGGAAAATGGTTATAACAGACATATTTCCCATCTATGGAATATATGTATTCCCTGAAATCAAAAATGATAAGATGCTTTCCCTAAGTATTGTCGCTTTGGTTTTATCATGTGAGAGTGTTGGGACCAACTCTCAATTTTGCCTACATTGGAAATGGCAACGTTGCTTAGAGTCATTTTTTTCTTTAGAATTTGCCATAGTGGCTACTGTTGACTCAGTTTCTCTGGTGGCAACAGTAGAGGGAGGGTTAACATAGACAGGTTCAGTCAAGGTTTTGACTCCTCTGTAGTCTGTAACTGCTGAAGATAAGTGTAGATGACATAATACTTTAAAAAGTGGGTGGCGATATGGAGCTTTTGATCCTTCTCACGTGAATGAAAAAAAAAATTATGGTGAATGTCGGGGCGGACACCCCAGGCAGATGTGCGTGGGAAGACTGACTGTAAGCTGAGTGCAAACTATGACAACAAATGACCTGGGTTCCCTGGAACAGATACGAGTTCAACTGGCACACTAATAGGGCTGCAATCATCTTTTTTCTGTTTGTAGCATCCACATAGATCAAAGACAGCAGAAAGAGATTGCTGGTATAACAAAAATAGACCATATCCCCCTTAGGAATTCTTAATTAGAAAAGAATAATCACCAATACATAACTTTTATTTGTCTACCAGAAGCCACAGGCATGTCAACACTCATTTTTATCAACACATCTAAAAGAATCAACAGGAGCAACTGGCAGTGATCCTCTCGTGCCTAAAGAAGCAGTCAGCGATCGATCGGTACTGGAAGCCAACTCTGCACATTAGCCTCCCCTCTCGCTCTGACACGTAGCTCTCGTCCCCATGTAAGATGCTAATTTTTGCAAGGCTGCAGTTACAATAAATATTTAGAAATACATATGAAATCAACAGTGTGTGGACATATTCTGGCTTGGTCTCTTTATTCTGGCTGGGCTGCTTTCCTCTTACAGCCTAATGGGCAGCATAGGACCCTCCCTGTTGGGTGTGTAACACTGAAGCATCTTTGTTACAGGTGTGAGCTGGTGATATGCAATTAATGGCAGGACTGTGCAACTGCAGCGCAGCAAGGTGTGTTCACCATTACATGCATGCCCCAGTCACTGTCCCCTGCCCAGTAGGTTTGCAAGGGACTAGTCAGATGAAGAAGCAGACATACTCCTTAGTCCTTAAATTGTTTTTTTCAGAATTTGATCCATAAGTATGAAAAAATGGAGATTTGAAGTTTATTTTATAGGTATGTATACATAAACTATTTATCTGTGATCATCTTAGGTTTGTAGCTCAATACTTTTCCATATCTTATGCTGCTCTTAAAAAAGAGAATGTTGAAGAGCTGCTCCAGTGAACTTGTGCAAAGAAATAATAATATATTTTCACATTTCTCATTCACTCATATTTTTTTACTCACTTTGAGACTTTCTGTATAGTAATTTCCCTAAAGTAGAAAGGGCTCTTTAAACAGTCTATATCATCTCTAGCTAAAACAGTTTAGAAAATGATTTTATGTATAAGATTTATACACTCATCTTTACTACCTGTGAGAAACCAGCTTTGCCAATGCTGGTTGTTCTTTATATCCTAATTATGTTAGTTCTGTGAAATGGAGCAACCTGTCACTCTACAGAGGCAGAGTAGGTGGAGAGAGCCAACCTAAGAGTTAGAGTTACTCTGTGTGTGTGTTTTAATGCATTTAAGATCTGCTTCATTTGGCACAATTAACAGGCTTATTTAGAGGAAGGGAAATAGCCCTCCAGAGCTCCTTGGGTAGAAGAATCAAAACCAGTTTATAGCAACATATTTTAGTTCTAATCACACCTACTTTTCCTTCTCCTTGTTGAGGCTAAGAACGTGTAATGTTCAGGAGAAATATAGGACGCTAGCATTTGGTAGAACATTCATAAATCTGTTTTCTGTTGTACTCTTTAATATCATACAAATAACAGTGAATAAGGATGTGAGCTAACTATTTAGCTGTAAATAGTGATTTTAAGAAGTGCCATATTTTGGGCAATGGTGAGTGAGCATTGTTCAGTTTTCAAACTAAGCAAGTTCTTAGCATTAAATACACAATTTTACAGACTTTCACCTCAAAATAATTAATTATAAATTCAAGAGGTCCCGGAACGCCTTCTGATCAGAATTGTTACTATCTTCGTATATGCCATGGCATGATCCAGATATTACACAATAACAGTAGTCTTTATTAGAAAAGCCCTGCATCATGGTTCATGACTGCGTTAGCGACTGTCACTGGTTTCGCTGATGATCTGAACCAAAGACAGCTTCAGTATGAGTTTTTTCACAGCATTCTGGATACTGTTCCTGGAGAGTTTTGTGGAGCTGTTTATATATATTGGAATAAAACTGTATTCTGTATATTAAGTTTCAATCATATTCCTAAAAGTGTAGGTTCAGCATTATATTGTCATTCTGCTTTTAAAAAGTTGTGTTTAACACAATTAAGCAATACACACACACACACACACTTTAGTTCATCTAGTCCCAAAAGTACTTGTACTACATTTTCTGATTTCTTAAAAGTTAACATTTTTAATAATCCATCTGACAATGTTGTTATCCTGTATGCCCATTTTCTTTTTAATATGCAAGAGCAGGTAAACTACTTATCATGATTCCACTAAATCTCCATCTCCTCTGTTTTTATAGATAGTGAACTGTGCTGTTTGTAGCTTGAGACCACAAGTAACGGTGATGCTTCATTTCGGCACTACTCGAAGGTGATAAACTTTCACTCATGAGGAAGCATTTCAGATGCAGGTGGGTTGCCCTATAATCCTTCTTAAATTATCAACTAAATCGTTATTTCCCTTAATTAAGATTCATTCTTAAAATTGTACTCTTGTTCTGTTAAGTGTTTGTGAGATGACATAGAAAGAAGTATCACAAACCAGTAGAAGTTCTTTATGAAGTCTGTGTTTGGAACACTGCAAAGTTTTCTGTTTTTTTGTTTTTTTAATTGCTATATTAATCATGTTAGGTTTCATCATGAACTCTATTTACATGTTGTTTAATCATGTATAATTAAAGCCAAACAATAAGATGAAGTGATTAGAAGGAATTTAAAATGTAGTTTGATTTACAACAGCCTTGAATTAATGGAAATCCTCATTTTAGAGTTAGGATACTACCAATGTATTCGTATTAGTGCTTTTGATTTTTTTATTAGTATTTTAATGAATTTTGTAAATTAGACCATTTAAACATTTTGGAGTACTGCCATTCTAATGTATTTTGAAGTCTCTGTGCAGTAATAAGGCGTTCAGTTTCTGTTCTAGTCTCCTTAATTTCCACACTCTTGAACATTTTACCTTTAGCAATGCAGATTCACATTTGTATTGCAGTTTGTCAAAATAAATTATCTTCCCCAAATTGTACAGGAATTCCAGCACTCAGATCTCCTGAATTATGATATTGCGATATTGCTAATGTCTTCCCTAGCATTTGTCAATTATATGACAATTGGAGAAAATATAACATTTTAATGTAGTAATTATTATATCCACACAGGTTTAACATTGGAAACTAACCTTGCACAGTCATTTTCACTGCACTTTTAAAGGCAAAAATAATACAGACATGGCTTCAATGGTTTTCCATGCTGAGGTGGTTTGATTTAAAAACGATGAGCAAGGTGCTGTATTTTTCATGTTGTTTTCATCTCAGATAATTTCAGATATGCACGTGCTTTACGATTTTAATACATATGACATCATTTACCTTTGATGTTCATAGTTACTACAGAAATTAAAACTACTTATGGAATAGTTCTTAGTAGTGGACTGTTGCTGAGCCCTTTTGATACATGGAAATTCCTAAGAAGGATAACTGACAGACATGGTTATTTCGATAGATTCAGGCAGCATGTAAATG